TTCTAAAGTACAGTTGAAATATATTCATTTAAGTAACATTTGGGTGTTGAGATTTTTGTCTCCATTTCTAAAAGGTTTTATAATAATATCCTCCTATCTGTATGTCTGTCCACCTCCACTTCTTCTAGCATTCTAAATTCCTTGTATTTAAGAAGCTCCTTCTGTGTGTTTGGCAAACTGCATCATTAATACTTGAAAAGTATTAAAAGATTTGTTTTCACACATTTATGTGCGTAGATGTTTGTGCCGAGGCATATAGAGAAAATCGTGTGGCTCCAATAATGGGGCTCTATTTCATAGTCGCCAAGGGCTGTGTGAGCTACGCAAATTCTGCCATTGGAGAGGAACTGATAATTATACAATAGGGGAAATCTAATATGGAATTATATCACTGTCCAAAAGTACGATTTTTTTCTCCCCTTTGGTTTCCCCCCCATAAGTTTCTCTGGATGGAGCTTGCAGTGATAGAATAAAAGGAGAATTAAGTATTACCAGGGTAATTGTTTCTCGTTTTCCTAAGGGTAGCCCTTCCCATTGATTGGAGCCACATACTTTTTATACCTAATGTGTGAAAAACACCAAATTCAGAATCAGTGTACGTCACAGGTACAGTCACCACACACGGTGTGTCATGAGAGCCCTCAACCATTCCAACGTGGATTGATGTTTTAAGCAGTTCACATTGTGCAGTTTCAGGCAATTCCTCAAATTTTTTAAAAATATGAATATTTGCTTCTGGAAGAAACTGATTTCACATGCATTTTAGCTGATAGTACAGTAAAATCTCACTAATTCAAACTAATTATGGTGAAAGCATGTCTGAACTAGTGAATTCATTATACATCTCTTAAATTCATGTTATTATTGTAGTGTTTCTAAATAGAGATTTTTCGGAAACTGCTTTAATTGGTATTAATAGATGGGTTTAATATCAGAAACAAACATCTTTACATGCATATAATTGTGTTGAGTTGCCTTTCTTTTTTGGGGGCAGGGTTATGGAGTCTCTTTAAAATGATCCCCCTAGAGAAGTTGGTTAATGGGTATAAAAATGCAGTTAGCTGGAAGGAATAAGATCTGGTAATTTGCTAGTACAGTAGGGGAATCAGAGTTAACAGTAATTTGTTGTGTATTTCAAAATAGAAGAGAGGAGAGAAGATTCGTAATGTTCTCAAGACAAAGAAGAGACCAATGTTTGAGGTGATGGCTATCCCCGTTATCCTGATTTGGTCATTACGTATTGTATGTATGTCTCCAAATATCACATGTACCCCAAAATATGTACACCTATGTCAGTAATAAACAAAGTGATCCCCCTAATTTAGGCTGAACCTGCCCGAGTCTTGCTTACATTACTCATTTACTTACATTTACTAGTAAGCGCTTTCTTGGGGGAGTAAAAAATGACTTCAGCTTTGTCTGCAATCGGAATGATCACGGATTTCAAATTGATGAAGTCCAAGTAGGTAACCTGAACTTGTAAAAAGTGTTGTTATATAGTTTTGGACTTCCAAATTATTAATAAATAATAAAATTTGTTTGTAAACAGATTGTAAGATATATAAAGTATGTTAAAATG